CGGGCTGGCTGGCTGGATCAGGCAGACGCGCCCTCCAATCAGGCACTGTAGAAGTCCGCTCGCAGTGGCCTCGGAGGAGCGAGCGGCCACCGGATGACAGCCGGGTGATCGTGTCAGGGAGAGGGAGCCATGGCTTCGTTTAGCGGGGGTCGTGACGGCGCCCCCCCTCAGTCCTGCGCCCGGGGCAAGTGTCCCCCCCCACCCCCCGGTTGTTACGCCACTGGTCAGCAGTAAGTACCCCTTTATCAGTGGTGAGTGTCCTTTTAAATGTTGGTGGTCAATGGTGTGTGCCCCTTTAAATGCTAGCAATTAGTAGTGTGCCTCATAGCTATTTGTGGTCAGTGGTATTTTCCCTATACCACTGGTAGTCAGTGTGCCCCCTATTTGGTCCATATGCCGGAGGAGGAGGAAGGAAGAGGATCAGGAGAATCCACGGCAGAGGGGGAAATGGTGGGATCCCAAATGTAAACACAAGCACTGTTTACATTTGTGATTGCCGTAATTGGCTGCCCGAGACTTATTTCTGATGTGCCGTTTATAAATGGCTCCATGGCAGGACACAGCCCCATAGAAGTGTATAGGGCACTCATGTGCAGGAGCAGGTAGGACAGTGAAGACTTGTGAAACAAACAGTAGAAATACGGCTGTCGGATTGAGGTGTGCATGCATCTGTGGAGGGGGATCTGTTACGTCAGGGAAAGGGGTAAAAATTACAAATTTACTTGGTCTGAAAGTGCACTTATTAACAAGCGCAAGGACACTTTCTTGAAGCCTTAAATTACATGTAAAGCCAAAACTTTTTTCTTGGTTTTGTATAAAGTAGGGATGGGTAAAACCCGTCAGGCTCTAAACCAGGAGGGATAGGTGTACACTTTAGAGCCAGGGCTGGCTATAGCACTAAAGAAAAACTCCAGGAAATCTAAAAATTAACCCTTGCAGTGGTCCTGCCCCTGCACTGTAAGCTTTAACTGCTCGTTTTGGTCTGGGGGCGAAAATAAAGATCACCTAATCCCCGGTCCCTGCAGCTACTTCTTCCAGAACAAAGCAGATAGAACCCGCCTCATTTCCTGGCTGTAGGACACCCAGAATCATCTAGCTTTCCCCCCTAGTCTGCCCTTTTCATTCATTGGATTTCAGTTCTTACAATCATGGAGGCTCAGCATCACATGTGGGCGTTACCTAGGGCAGTCTGCATGCAGCCTGCTTTGGAATGGCCAGTCATACAGACTGAAACCCATCCATCAAGGCATTTTAATATTTGCATAACTCTTATCAGGACTGTGGTCTCTTGAGAAGAGTACTAAGGTAGGGTGCTGGGATATTTTCAGGAGGCACCCAGCCACAGAGACCCTGTGATTATGTCATTGGGTCTAAAATAAATGATGTGATGAAAACAGAAAGGTTTTATTCAAAATTTTCATCAGCAGTATGTTAAAGGGGGAAAGGAAGAACATGAAAAGGCAACATATAAGCAGATTAAACTTCTGCTTTAAATCAGAGTTATAAGATGTGGCTCCTCACCATTATCCAGGATAAAGTATTGGTATAGATTGCAAGCAAATGTAAGGTATCTGGTACATCACAATGCCACAATAAGTTGCTCAGCAACATTCGTTCTACCTAGAAGCAGAAAAAAAAGCAGGAAAGGTCGAACAATAAACAAGGTGATCATTTTATTATGAAAAACATTGTAGAAGTATAAAAAATGTAAATAAAATACTGATACACATTCTTGTGAAACCCATCTGAGAGCCTCCTCAATATCCAGAGATGTTGGTTCAGTTTCTTCTGGTTTTGTTTGCTGCCCTTCATCTTTCTGACTTCTTCCTGGCACAAAGTGGAAACTTGTATTTGTATTCGGGGAATAAGAACAGACTCCATTCAATTCCGACTTGGGCAAAGCAGTAGAGGCAGCTAAGAACTAGGAGAGGGACCCATGGCCAGCCTGAAGACAAAAAAAAAAGAGAATAAACTACAGCAATACTGATTTTTAAACATTGCTGTGTTTTTAAATATCTGTGCAGTGCGCACACAAATCTATTGGGGGGAATTTATCAAAACTGGATCAGATTTGCGCTGCAACCAATCAGCTTCTCAGTCACATTATCAAGTCTAAACTGAGTATACTGAAGAGAGATGCTGATTGGTTGCCTTGGGCTCTGAGTAGCTGTCATGTTTGCAATGCAAGAACCAAGGACAATATGTCTCTGACATTTTCGCTTATCCAATTCATGTTACTAATAGTCACATTCAAATGAACTTGTTTAAGAATATTAAATCTCTTCACATTAATCAAAGTGGCCTTCTCAGTTCAAATGCGTGTTTGGAGCATACCACAGGGTGCGCAAAGTGCTAAAATATATTGGAAGCAATTTGCTGAATTATTTATAATAAGCTCTTAATATTAAAGAATGAATGCACTTATGCTTATGCAGCTCCTATCCCTATCTTCATTGGCACCACATGGACTATGCCCAAAATCTTTCAGAAGTATCCACACATACATGCCATGGGCTCCTATCACTTCATGGGAAGCCAACCTATTAGGCTAAAAGTACACCTATCCTTTAAATGAACTTTGTACTCTTCTGTTTGCCATGAGGAATAAGGCTTGTATGAATATTTTGCTGGAAGTTAACATTTAGAATACAAAACAGATTTACTTTAAACAGGAACTGCACCCAGAATTGATTGTATGTTTTTGGGAATGTGAGACTGAGTTCATATCTCATGAGGGATTCTCTGCTGTTTGTGATCCCAGCATTACAGCATTGGTATTACAGTGAAAGGCTGAGAGCTCAGTGTTTTATCTGAGCTACTTATGCCAAAGTCCTGCAAGTTCATCATGTATACCTATGAAAAAGACCTGGATGGACAACATGTAGTGTAGCTGGAAAGTCAAACTATTAGACCATCATGGTCAGACAGGGAGTGGCAACAAATTAATACTTTAGCATCCAGACATTGAGGAAACCTCAACTAAGATTAGCCCCTACCCCACTCCCAACAAAACAGAAACATTGCTTTACGTGGGCCTGCTTTTGAAATTAAGAATTAAAAATTTTCTTTACAGGTGGAGGTTAATGACTGTTCTCAAACGTCAGCTTGGTACAGATTAAATTATTTAAAAAGCTAGTTAAGCTCATTACTTAGTCATCTCTGAGCATATGAAAGTAAAAAGATATTCCAGCATCCCAAGGTGACTTTGATGACGACAGTTGCTGAGTGGTGTAACGCTCGGTATAAATGACTTTCTTCTACGAGATTAGAATTGATGCTGTAATATATAATTATGGAAGTCTAAGCTCGTGTATAGATCATTTTACCAATGTCACATGTAATACTCTTATTCTGCTACCAGCAGCAGCCAGACATCATCTCACAATGTACAATAGTGGCTCTAGTGTGGAATTTTACAATTACAGACCCCCGAATGGATTGCCTCTGGAAACAGCAATCACATATACATATACTTTCTACAGCTAGTGAGATTTTTGCTGTTGTTTTGGGACAATTAAAACTTCGATCAGAGGTACAGTTACTGATAATGATAATTGCATGTCACCTAACACATTGAATATCCACTTTGCTTTCAGGTTCAATAATGCAGAGAAACCTGTTTCAATAGTTTTGACTTACTTAGAGATCCAGTCCCATACCTCCATCCTGTGGTTCTATACACCTATCGAGTATAGATACCCCAATTAGGAACCCCTGCTCCAGTAAATATTTTGTCCTAGTTTTGTAGATGTCAATTCTCAATTGACAATATGATTATAAAATAAAGGTTCTGACTGTTTGCCATGTGCAATAGAAATCGGGCCCCTGAATAAGAACAGAGTACGCTATCTATAGCAACCGAACCAATTCAAACCTGCAATGGAAGATGATATATGGAAAATGAGTCATTGGGGTTGATTTACTAACCTTATCAACACGCCACGAACCAGTATACACCTCTGTAGTGTGTTCTCTCCCAGCATGATCTATTGGTGGAATCTAGACACCTTTGTAGTGTGTACAGACCCAGCAGGTGTGTTGTGCAAAGCCCTGCATGAATTGCAAGGTGATGTTGTGTAAATTAGCTCTACATTGTGTTGCTTGCGTTGATGAATACAGGAATGTAAATGCATGAGCTAACCATTTTTGTCTAAACTGTGAAGCAGCATTATATATGCATCATGTGCATGATTTTTCCATATATGGCATTAGTGGAAATATGCTTTTAGAGACTTTTTGGTTGATAAATAAGTTTTGCTGTGTAAAAATCACACGCACCTAGTGCGTGCGTGTGTTTAGGTTAGTAAATCACCCCCATAGGGTCTAACTGATTGCTGTGAAGCAATGCTGACATTTTTCATTTCAAACAGTTTGATATATACAACACTGTTTCCACTGTTTTGTATGTACAGATTGTTCTGATATACATTCTTGGGAGCATTGACAAAGTCAAATGGCTCAATACACATTTGATATACTGTATATACATTTTTACTTTTCTAGCTGCTGAAAGACTGGACAGAGGTGATGATGCTTGTTCACTGTCCAGTAATCAGGTTGCAGGAGTAGTGATAACAAATAGACATGTGCGATTCGTTTCGTTCCGAATAGAAATTCGGACGAAATTTCGGAAGTTCGGAAATATCTGAATTACGAATTACAGCTATAACGAATGCTAACGAATCCGAATTCCCGAAATTCGTTAGCGGTAGTCCGGTCGAAATTTTGTTTATTGGACGAAATTTTGTTAGCAGCAAAGTGATATTAGAAAAAAAAAATGTTTTTTTTTTACAGTCTGCAGAAGATGAAAAAAAAATAAGCATGAGGTTCCCCCCCCCCAATTCATACCAGACCCTTCAGGTCTGGTAGGAATGTTAGGAGGGACCCTCCCCCAAGTTAAAACAACAAAAAAGTGCGTGGGGTTCCCCCCAAAATCCTACCAGACCATTTAGGTCTGGTAAGAATTTTAAGGGGGAACCCCAGCCCCCAAAAATGGGGGGAAAAAACTTGCAACCTGATCACTGGACAGTGAACAAGCATCATCACCTCTGTCCAGTCTTTCAGCAGCTAGAAAAGTAAAAATGTATATACAGTATATCAAATGTGTATTGAGCCATTTGACTTTGTCAATGCTCCCAAGAATGTATATCAGAACAATCTGTACATACAAAAAAAAACGTGTGGTCACAACTAACAGTCCTACCAGACCCTTGATCCGAGCACTGGCCCGGCAGGGCAGGAAAGGGGGGGGGGGCGATTGAGCGCCCCTCCCTGTGTCTTACCAGGCCACGTGCACAGTGAGCCGAGGTGTCATATGAAAAGCATTATCACACCTCGGCTCACAGACCCGAATAGCATTCGGAAACTCACGAATAGCACTCGGGAGTTTCCGAATGCTATGTAGTATTTGACGGCTGAGAATTTTAAATGGGCGGAGCGAGCCGTGATGTCACAACTCGCTCCACCCATCTGTTGACATTCGGGCTGAATGTCATTTTGCGGCGAGTTTTCGTCGAGTTTGGGTGGTCGTCGTGCGGTGGGACTTTTTTTTTTATTTCGGCGGGGGTCCTGCATCCTGATTGACGCTGGATTACATTGATGGAGCCATTTTTTTAAATTAAAGGAATAGTCAAAAATTGAGTCTTTGTTTTTTTTTTTCAATTAAAGGATTTTATCTAAAAGTCTGGACTTTTTACTAACTATTTGATTTAACCCTTTAGTGAATGGGTAGGGGTGCAAGTACCCCTTACTCATTCACAAGAGGGGGGCGGCATCTGGGTGCCCCCTTATTTAAAGGGGTACCCCGATGCAAATAAGCCCACTTGCCCGCAGACTCCCACAACCACCGGGTCAGTGTTGTAAGGAAGAGGCCCTTGTCCCCATCGGCACGGGGACACCCTCCCAATGCCAAGGGCACGTGGCCTGGTAAGGCGCAGGGAGGGCCCCCTTTCCTGCCCTGCCGGGCCAGTGCTCGAATCAAGGGTCTGGTAGGACTGTTAGGGGGGACCCCACGTTTCCCACCCCCATTTTTTGGGGCTGGTAGGGATTTGGGGGGGAACCTCACACACTTTTTTTTTGTTTTAACTTGGGGGAGGGTCCCTCCTAACATTCCTACCAGACCTAAAGGGTCTGGTATGAATTTGGGGGGAACCTCACGCTGTTTTTTTTTTCCATCTTCTGCAGACTGTAAAAAAAAACAAAACATTTTTTTTTCTAATGTCACTTTGCTGTCCAATAAACGAAATTTCGACCGGACTACCGCTAACGAATTTCGCTGGAAATCCGAATTCAATTGCGGACCCGAATCCGAAAAACGACTACCGCTAACGAATTTCGTCCGAATCCCGCAACGAATTCAATTGCGGACCCGAACTTGAAAAACGTAAATCCGAATCAAAACGAAACGAAACAAATTTTTTGCTGGTGCACATGTCTAATAACAAAGGAAACCCCAATCCTTAACCAGGAAGCTGAACTGCTGAATTAGGCAATTAAGACGATTAACACCTTTTGTGTTCTGTGCTCACTGCAGCATTTATTATACTGTATATGCTCAAATATGTTCATCAGTGGCGGACCCAAGGAACAAAGGTCCCTGGTGCAAGATTTTATCTTGGGCCCCCTCCCTCCCAAGAAGGGGGGGCGCGGATCACATTGGCCCCCCAACCGCCCCCCCCCAGCGGTCGCAGCAACGCGCTGGACTGTGGGCTTAGTAATGCGCTGGACTGTGGGCTTAGTAATGCGCTGGACTGTGGGCTTAGTAGCGTGTTGGACTCTGGGCTTAGTAGCACGCTGCACTCTGGGCTTAGTAGCGTGCTGGACTCTGGGCTTAGAAACGCATTGGACTCTGGGCTTAGTAACGTGCTGGACTCTGGGCTTAGTAACGCGCTGGACTCTGGGCTTAGTAATGCGCTGGACTCTGGGCTTAGTAACGCGCTGGACTCT